CTGCAGCAATGAGTTCCTTGAGGAAGAATGCACTATAATTGAACAAGTATTTTCTAAACTCCACTATCCTCGTCACTTCATCAGAGACCTGCAGACGGCGGGCATTAAACATCTTCAACACACCCAGAGAAGACACTGCCCAAAAAGATTACATAGTCCTCCACCAACTCCATTGCCAAACATGTTTCCAATCTTTGCCAAAACATCATTCCAATTTTCTACCTCCACAACCACGACCATCAAGGACCATCACCGTAGTAGACAGGAAAGCCTCCATCCTCTGCAGGGGTATACATAATCCCTTGTAATGACTGCAACAAATTATATGTGGGGGGAACATCAAGAGACCTCCAAACACGTATTTCAGAACACCAATATGCAAGCAGGACTGACGATACAAGGAATGCCTGTGTACAACATCGCAATTTACACAACCTTTAATTAACTACAGAAAACTCAAGACTTATAGCCACAGAAGACAACACTCCAATACAGAAGAATCCTGGAATCATCGCTCATCTCTACAACCAACAATTTCAACCAAAAAATGGCTTCTAAACATAGCTGAACCACTCGCCAAGAAACTTCTTCATCGCTATCCCACATAAGAACATAGAACACTGCAGAAGGTCTACTCACAACTTGTCCAATACCCCTGCCAAGCTACCCAAGACTGTATAACCCCACCCGGTAGATCATCAGATGCAGCATTCTCCACCTGACCTCAACATTCTGAACATGACTATAAATACTCTTGTACCTTCCAACCCCAGGTAGATCCGTGTGTGACTTGAAAAAGCCCACTGTGTGGGTGAAACGTTGTCAATAAAGGATCACATTATACTGCATTTGTGTTTATATTTCCATTGTGTCGGTATTTTATACCATTTATTTCCAAGAATGGTGCTAGTGGCTGTGATGGTGGTGTTAGTGCAGGTGGTGAAGAATGGTGCTAGTGGCTGTGATGGTGGTGTTAGTGCTGGTGGTGAAGAATGGTGCTAGTGGCTGTGATGGTGGTGTTAGTGCTGGTGGTGAAGAATGGTGCTAGTGGGTGTTTATGGTGGTGTTAGTGCTGTGGTGAGAATGGTGCTAGTGGGTGTACGACGACGACGGCGGTGGCGGCGGCGGTATCAGTGGTGGTCTTGGTGGTGGTGGTGGTGGTGGTGGTGGTGGTGGTGGTGGTGGTGGTGGTGGTGGTGGTGGTGGTGGAGGTGGTGGCGGTGGTGGTTGTGGCGATCTTGGTGGTGGTGGTGGTGGTGGTGGTGGTGGTGGTGGTGGTGGTGGTGGTGGTGGTGGTGGTGGTGGTGGTGGTGGTGGTGTGGTGTGATGGAGGTGGTGGTGGTGGTGGTGGTGGCAGTGGCGGTGGCGGTGGCAGTGGCAGTGGCATTGGCAGTGGCAGTGGCAGTGGCAGTGGCAGTGGCGGTGGCGGTGGCGGTGGCAGTGTCGGTGTTACTTCTGTTTTAAGATAAGGTTGGGCAAAGGGTTAGACAAAAACTGTGCCCACGATGCTCATCACTGCAGGAAAGTCACTCACAACAGCTCTGGATAACTCATTACACTGGCTTGGGCTGGGCAACAGTTTGCTTAAGTTGCTGAATAAAGGAATTAGGTCCACTTGACTACCCTTAAAAGGAAGTAGCAGCCCATGGGCCCTCTCTGTGATCAGGGCCAAAACCAGGGCTAAATTCAGACCTCACTGCATCTCAGGTCAGGGTCAAACAAGAGAGGGAAGAGTGCTTAGTGCCAGCCAATGTCAAACATCAAATTATTATTATTATTATTATTAATACTATTATTATTATTATTATCATCATCATCATCATCATTGTCATCATGGAAGCAATGAGTCCTTAGGGATCGTACAGCACCTGGAGAACGACAGGTAAGAAAGTTCGTGCTAATGAAGCGTAGGACAAGGGACCTCCAATTTATTACACCAAGAACCCTTCAGTGCCATGAAGGCACTTCACTGAGAATGGGGAGCCAGGCATCATCAGCTGTGGCATCTCTCTCTCTCTCTCTCTCGCACGAGCTAATAATTCATCGTGTTTCTTAGTGGCTGAGTCACTCTCCAAAGCTCTCATACATTACTCAGCGAAGCACAGCGGTGAGAGCAACAACTGATTTAGAGAAGCTCATCCAGTTTATCGTTGAAGTACGAACTTATTTATCAGAGGAAAGATTCAAGGGAGGACTAAAGAGGCAAAATTCAATGAAATGTGTGAGTATAAAACTCAAGTCAAGCAATCTCGGCCTTGTGTATTTTTTTTTAGTTTAAAGTCTCAATAATAAGGTATAGTATTAAAAATCTCGAGGTGTTTTGCATTATCAGTGACTTTCCAGTAACACTTGACAGATAAATAATGAAAGAGAATATAGGAACATAAGAAAGGAGTGATACTGCAGAAGTCTCAGTAGTAGTAACCAGTTACCAGTAACCAGTGTACCGGTGGTTGACTCACTGCCAACCGTCTCTGCCTGAGTCACTGTCTGAACTCATATTGTGCTGACCTAGCACTATTCAAAGACCCCCTCACATATGGGTACTGTGGGCGGCCAGTCAGTTTACGAGAGTGAGCAAGAGAGACAAGGTACGGCTGTAAGGGCACTCCCCACATTATCTGTAATTATACGTACTACCAGCCTACGTATTACTTTACCCAATCCACGTGTTCGAACTCCCACATGATAGAAGGCCTACTGGCCCGTACTATACAGGTCCTTATCAGCCCCAAGTCTACTAACAAAAATATTCGCCCAATGAGTGTTACTCAAGGAATAATCTTTAATAACCCAATTAACTCAAGCTGTATTTTTCTACTGTATATCCAGCCGAGATCCTCTTCAGGTGTTTCCGAAGGTCACGAAACTCCGAGTCAGTGGATCATCTGAGAGGAGGACATCAAGTTGACGGAGTTGATTCCTTATAAGCGTGAAATGAAGGTCAATAAAATAATTAACTTGATGTAAAGTCGGTAAATGATGCTGCTTAATACTTTATATTTGTTAAGGGCATATAATAGAAAAACCGACTTTAAAAGAAAAGACAAAACATTTGAAGGGGAAAACATGCAGGTTAATATGTAAAAGAAACCACTGTAATTCCCTGACACCCTGAAGTAACAAAAATATAGTGTCATAACAAACTTTTTCTTAGGCGAACGTTTCGCTCTCGGTACAGCTTCATCAAGCTATCCTATAACCCGTGTCACTGATTTTATACTTTTCGGTAATACACCTTGCCAGCCATCGTGAAATAAACCATGGCGTGACTAACGAAATTGCAATAATACTATTATAAAGAACTCGCAGAGAGGAAGGTTGGAGCCTATGGCAAGACAGTCTCGAGCACAGCAACAAGCCAGTGCTGCTTCATCCACTGTACCAGACCAGCCTGATGAAACTCATCCAACAATGGCGTCTTCAGGAAGTCTGGCAAGTTGTTGAGGCTGAAAGAGGATTATTAGATTACAACCATGAGGGAACGCTACACCCATAGGAGTCATACGGAGCCTGGGGAGAATGTGAGGCATTTAGCTTTGACCCAAGAAAAGGGAGCACAGGTTAACATTCGTACATCAAGAGCCCCTCACACAGACTTTAAGGAACCTGTCTTGAGAGTGGAGAAGATTTATCTTTGGACTACTGTGTGTGTGTGTGTGTGTGTGTGTTTTTCTTTGACAGTATCACTCCAAAGTCTCCATATTCCAGAAATCATCTAGACGCCATTACATCGCTGAAGACATATATATATATATATATATATATATATATATATAATATATATATATATATATATATATATATATATATATATATATATTTATATATATATATATATATATATATATATATATATATATATATATGTGTGTGTGTGTGTGTGTGTGTGTGTGTGTGTGTGTGTGTGTGTGTGTGTGTGTGTGTGTGTGTGTGTGTGTGTGTGTGTGTGTGTGTGTGTGCGCGTGTGTACGAGTAGAATAGATACTGCAGATTTTCCTGTCATGAGCTCTGGTTACGGTAATTAATGGAGTAAATGGGGTTCCTGTCCAGATTAAATGGCGCATAGTATTTTTCTGAGTAAATATTCTCTCCCTCTCCCTCTCCCTCTCCCTCTCTCTCTCTCTCTCTCTCTCTCTCTCTCTCTCTCTCTCTCTCTCTCTGGAAGGTGTGAGGGGGAATTATAGCATCAGGAAGCAAGTACCTGTGAGGCAGAAAACTTGTTCTTTTCATAAGCTTTTGTTAAGACCTGTGTCGCTTCTGTCCGGGCCAGAGTTACTTCCATTAGGCCAGAATTGCTTCCATTCGTCAGAGTTTCTTCCATTAAGGCTAAAGTTTCTTCCGTTAGGGGTCAAAGTTTCTTCTCTTAAGGCCAATGATATGTTGGCCAGCAAGACTAACTGACATGCACAGACCAAACATTTACCTAAATCCAGTGTTTCACCCTATTTAGAGGGAGAAACTTAGTGTGAATCAATATTTAGTCTTTATCACTACTATTACTACTACTACTACTAATAATAATAATATAATAATAATAATAATAATAATAATAATAATAATAATAATAATTATTATTATTATTATTATTATTATTATTATTATTATTATTATTATTATTATTATTATATTTACTTAGGAAGCTCTAAGCCACATGGGTCTTGCAATGCCAGAAGAATGGGAGGTAATCAGATTTGATCCAAGAAAGAGAATGGTAGCTTCCTTTCCCTGAATCAAGAGCCTACAGTGCCTGAAGTATTTCTTGTCAGCACCTCATGTTAGCGTGTGAGATAGATAGATAGATAGATAGAGAGAGAGAGAGAGAGAGAGGAGAGAGAGAGAGAGAGAGAGAGAGAGAGAGAGAGAGAGAGAGAGAGAGAGAGAGAGAGAGAGAGAGAGACAGACAGACAGACAGACAGACAGAGAGGCAGGGCGCGACCTGTCCCTCCCCTCCTGGCATCAGTGCCAAGCCTGGGGGCAGCGCCAGGCATGAGGAGCGTGGTGAAGCTCAGTCAGCCAGCAGGCAGCAGGGAGCACGGAGCTACCACCTGCCCTGGCAGCCAGCAACAAGTGAACCACCGCTGCTCGACACTTACCCACACACACGCACGCTCCCCGCAACGCTCTCTTTCTCTCAGCGTTCAGTTTTTTAATAAATTTATCCAAAGGAAACTGGAAATATAACGTAGCAGTGACAATTTGCTGATGTATACACACTTTCCCGCCAAAACTCCTCAGCTTACCAATGAAAATATTGAAACTTAACATTAATCTGATGTAAAGTTGTGAACAGATGCGAGTAAGGTAGGCTTGGAGGCAAAAATTTGTTTACCTCCGATGAATGAAAAGTAGCCGAGCAGTTTTGTTGACGATAATAAATAGTAGTAGTAGTAGCAGTAGTAACAGTAGTATTAGTAGTAGTAGTAGTAGTAGCAGCAGCAGAAGTAGTAGCAGTAGTAGTAGCAGTAGTAGTAGCAGCAGTAGTAGTAGTAGCAGTAGTAGTAGTAAATCGAAGTGGAATTACCGTGCCAGTAAGGGGTTATATAGAGAATAACAGCGTGGAAAGGTGGAGGGGCGCATGCACTGACGCATCTCTCTTGTGCTGCCATCCTGCGTAACTTCAAGCAAGGAGACCATGTACTGACGTGGCTGTCTTCAACTGCCTTCCTTCCTGCGTAACTTCAAGTGAGGGAGACTATGCACTGACGCATCTCTCTTGTGCTGCCTTCCTTCCCTCGGTCTTGCGACTTCTAGTGAAGGAGACGAGATTTCACGAGAAGGTCGCCGATGGAAGGAAACGAGACGGGTGAGTTGAAATGGCGCTCTGTTGGAGGTGTTAGAGGCGATGGATGTTTGCTGGAGACACTGAAAGCCTGATGGAGGTACAGTAGCTCTGTTATTGGTGTTGGAGCTCTGCTGGAGGTGTTGAAGCAGAGCTGTGTTCTAGGTGTAGGGCCTCTGAGGTTCTGAGGCTCTGTTAGAGGTTAGCTGGAGGTGTTGGAAGTGCTGAAATGAAGCGGTGACTGTGAGCTTCAAAGAGCGTACTTACTTATCAAAAGGACGGGGGAAAAAACAGGAGCATTTTCTTCCTTCCAACTTCCCTCCAACTGCCCAAAGTTTAGAACCTTGGAGGAAAGGCTTTCTCCACGACGTTCTTCAAAGAGATAACCAAAGAACAACCTTGAAAGGATTTCCTAAGACGTGAGAGCAACGGGTCACTTTAAGAGAAATCCCTTTCAATAAGTCTCCCCCCTCTTCCTTAGAATTATTATTACCAAAGAGGAGAACCAGTATTTCGCAAGAGTCATACAGAATCTGGGGAGTGGGAGGTAATCGGGTTTGCACTGAGGAAAAAATAGTCCCTTTGGATTATCATTATGTCTCTATACTTGAAGATAATTCTGGAAAGACCGAATTATTATCACTTATGATAATCCAGGACGGAGTAGATTATTAACACTTATAGAGACCTTATGATAATCCAGGACGGACTAGATCATTATCACTTATGATATATCCAGGACGGACCTGATTATTATCACTTATGATAATCCAGGACGGACTAGATTATTATCACGTCTCTGTAGCTTCTCCAGAAACTTGAAAGGGATTCCTTCAGAGGATCTTTTTAAAGAGTCCTTCCAGAGAAACCCTTCTAAAGAGCCCCTTTAAGGGTCTTCCCCCATGTGTCCTAGATTCTTCAAAGAGTCCCTTTAAAAGAACACCCTCTAAAAGAGTCCATATAAAGGGACGTCCTCCAGAAAAGTCCCTTTAAAGGGACGAACTCCAAAAAGTCCCTTCAAAAGGATTCCCTCTCAGAGTCCATTTAAAGAGACACCTCCAGGAGAGTCCTTTTAAAAGGGCGTCCTTCAAAAGAATCCCCTCAAGTGGACGTTTCAGAGAGTTCTTCTGAAAAGAACCTCGACACAGTCCTCTTGAAGAGTCTCCATCAAGGCTTCAACTTAAAAAAGGTATCTTTTTAAGATATAGCTGAAAATCCATCATAATTCAGATTCTCGTATATACTGAGTAAACTCTCATGTATACTGAGAAAAGTCTCATGCATACTAAGCCAATTCTCATGTATTCTCAGCAAACTCTCATGCATACTGAGCAAACTCTCATATACGCTGAACAAATTGTCATATATACTCAGCAAACCCTCACGCATACTCAGCAAACCTTCACGTATACTCAGCAAACCCTCACGTATACTCAGCAAACCCTCACGTATACTCAGCAAACCCTCACGTATACTCAGCAAATGATATCTGATATAGTCATTCGATACAGCTTTTCTACACAATAATTTAAATTTTCTTTGCCACTCAATATTCTCTGCTCACTGAAAACGACTCGTGGATGTTACGCAGATTTTTTTTTTTTTTTGGTACGTATAAGGTCAATGGTTAAAATGCCATGACTGTCAAAATTCCTCACAGCGGAGACGGCAAGGGCATCGTAGAAAACATGGCACTGTGTGCCTTGTTTCCCTCTCTCCTAATTTCATGTTTATTTTTTCCCTATAATCTACTTTGTCCATAATTACTAACGCATTTGAGCTTCGCTCAAACATGTGCAACATAATTGCCCTCAAAGATTTGTTAAGGTATACAATGAATTAAGGAAAGATCCTGGACTTCACCTTACGAAAGCAGACGATGTAAATACGACAGTAATTATGGACAAGGTAGATTATAGGGGAAAAATCATATATTGTTAGAAGACAGGGGAACTGACGTGCCTCTTAAAGGCACAATTTCGCTCTAAGAGCTTAATCAACTCTTCTCAGAGCGAAACATTGTCCGTAAGTGTAGATCTTAGCTACATATCAGAGTCTTTTTACAATATTTGTTGGGAAGCCTCTCTGTCCAACATTACAGGAAGGACAGAAGAAAATACGAATATCGAAATCACAAGGTAAGATTACACTCTGGTGACAAAGATAATAGGGAGACTACATGTTTAATGAAAGATTTAGAAAGGGCAGTAAATTGGCCTTGCTCTTGAAGAGAGAATAAGTGAAGGCAGTAAGTAGTAGGCAGAGTTTTTTGAAGAAATATTAAGAAGGTAAACAAGCAGTGTTTGAATAAAGAAGCATCAGAAAAGGCCGTAAGTAGGGTGTTTTTTTAAGAAAGATTTAGAAAACGTAAAAGCAGATGGCGGAGCTAGCACGACTGTGGCCGAAGAAATGAAGGGGAGAAGCGACAACACATGGATGGAGAGAGAATACGAGAGGGGGGGATAAAAAACATGAAAAAATGAAACATGGCAGATTAGAAGAAAAACGAAAGATTAGAGGGAACCCGAGCAATAGGGGGAAACACAGCAGAAATAAGAAAAACAGGAGAAATAAGGAGGAACACGACAGATAGGAGGGAACACGGGAGAAAATACGCACCACTGAGTCAGGTCCCGTGTTTAAAATAATTTCCATTTCAGTTTCACGGCCAAACACATCTGGGGTTTAATTATTTGTGTATCAAAAGACAGATTTTGTTCCTCTGTTATCAATGAAACTTATCATGGGAATGTCTTCAAGTGGTGTTTGTTGATTGCACCAGTCAGAGTTTATAGGAGTGGACACCAACAATGTTGTTTTGTGCGTTAATGAATTATTTCCAGGATGAAAATAAAAATACTGCTAACTCACACGTATAAGCTATATCAAAGACCAGAGTATCCTTTATGTCAGTGTCAGGTGAAATGTTTGGATGCGCGTGTGAGTTAGTTGCCATTTTGTCCTAGGCACATGTCGATTAGACACTAGGCTTGTTGTATATGCGTGCGTATATATATATGTGTGTGTGTGTGTGTGTGTGTGTGTGTGTGTGTGTGTGTGTGTGTGTGTGTGTGTGTGTGTGTGTGTGTGTGTGTGTGTGTGTGTGTGTGTATGTGTTGTGTGTTGTGTATTGTGCGTGTGTTGTGTGTTGTGTGTTGTGTGTTGTGTGTTGTGTGTTGTGTGTTGTGTGTGTGTGTGTGTGTGTGTGCACACGTGTGCGCATGTGTATGTATATATATATATATATATATATATATATATATATATACATATATATATATATAATATATATATATATATATATATATATATATATATATATATATATATACATATATATATATATAATATAATATATATATATATATATATATATATATATATATATATATATATATATACATATGTGTGTGTGTGTGTGTGTGTATGTGTGAGTGCATGTGTGTGTGTGTGTGTGTGTGTGTGTGTGTGTGTGTGTGTGTGTGTGTGTGTGTGTGTGTGTGTGTGTGTGTATTTGTGTGTATGTGTGTGTGTATGTGTGTATGTGTGTGTGTATGTGTGTGTGCATGTGTATGTGTGTATGTGTGTGTGTGTGTGTGTGTGTATGTATGTGTGTGTGTGTGTGTGTGTGTGTTGTGTGTGGGTGTGTGTGTACGTGTGTGCTTGTGTTTGTTTCCCTGTGTACTCACTTATTTCAACTCACTCGTGGTTGCTATGGTCGAGTCTCCGCTCTTGCCCCTTCCCGTTAACTTGCCATTTGCAGGATACCCTCCCTGATAGTCTCGTACATCCTGTTCTACATTTTATAGAAACTATGTATGAGGGTGCCTCCACTACATCTTCGTCCAGATCATTCCACTTCTTGATCACACCGAAGCTGAAGAAATACGTCCTGAGACATCCCCGTGACTCATACGTGTATTTAACTTCCACCTGTCCCTCGTGCACGCATTGTCAGCCTCTCAGTTGTGCCACCTGAACGGCTATTTTACTGTGCACCCAGTACTCATCCTGTGAGTTTTTTGTATATCGTTATCATGCCTTCCTGGTTCTTACATTCTCTAATGTCATCAGGTTCAATTCTTTTAACTTCTCATTATAACTCATTCCTCTTTGCTATGGGCCTGTTCTCATTGTATATCTCTGCATTTCCTCCAGTTGCTTAACATGCTTCATCAGGTGTGTGTGTGTGGGGGGGGGGGGTTCCTTAGTGGTGATACATACTCCAAGATTGGCTTGACATTTATCACATATAGGACCGTTAAAGTTCCTTCGTTTATTTTCCAGAAGATTGCTCTTAGATGTGCCGAGCGAGTATTTGCTGCAGAGTTTACACGTTTGAAGTGTGGCTCTGGCGATATGCTCGGTACTATGCTCACCTTTAGGTGTTCCACACACACACACACACCCTGTGACTCAGACGAGTCACAGGGACGTTAGGAAGTATTTCTTCAGTCATAGAGTTGTCAGCAAGTGGAATAGCCTAGCAAGTGAAGTAGTGGAGGCAGGAACCATACATAGTTTTAAGGAGAGGTATGACAAAGCTCAGGAAGCAGAGAGAGAGAGGATCCAGTAGCGATCAGTGAAGAGGCGGGGCCAGGAGCTGAGTCTCGACCCCTGCAACCACAACTAGGTGAGTACACACACACACACACACACACACACACACAAACACACACATTCTACTCTATCACTGCATGTCCCTGAGCAGTACACACACACACATATGCTTCACTCCTACCCCTTTTCAAAGCACACTAACATCTTTTCATAAAAGCACTACCTGGAGCCACCATTCTTAAACAAGCTCCCAGACGAGACGGGAGAAAGCTAATCTACTTACAGCAGCTGCTGTGGCTCCTTCCTTACATTACAAGACGTCCAAATAGTCTCGTAGACACGGTGCTGGCCGCCGTGTGTCTTAATTTATGTTAGAATATGCAGGAGTTTACTCAGGAACACTGGCAGGTAGCAGGTTGTTAACCGTGGTGGTGGTGGTGGGGCCACCCTTGATGGTTGTTAAC